GAGAGAGAGAGAGAGAGAGAGAATTTAAATCAAGATCTCAAAATTAAAAGGACAGAATAATTCCCTGCAAACTCATTCCCTATACGTTCAAACTTTTCCTAACAATGGTGTTACTACAGTTAGAGAATTTCACTTGGAAAATTAAGAGTCTTTGTTTTAGTTAGCATTTTATAGCACTGGCAACACAATTGGGTCACATTAAGTGCCAAAGACTAGAGGTGTTACAAGAGAGTAACAAACACAAAAGAGAAGGAGGAGAGATAAGGACAATAGATGTTAGATAGATATATAGGCAAGAAGGAGCAAACCACACCAGAGCACCCGCCAACCACCCACAATAAAGTCTTTACAAATCTGAATGTAGTGAGTTTTAGTTTTTGTACAAGTTTTTTTTTTACAGTAGAGGGTTTTACAGTGCTCGCAAGCGGCAACTGCATAAGGTCATATGAGCGCCAAGGGATGGGTGTCAACAGAGAAGTCTTTACAGGGAATTAGACTGCTCACCTCTCTAGCTTCAACAGCACAAGGTCTGCTTCGACTATCAAGGCACCCCGGAAATAGCAGGTCACAAGAGAGTGACAAACATACAAAAAAAAAGTAGAGGAAAATGACAATAGTTAGGAGCAGGAAAGAAAAAGCAGCAGTTCCCTGTTGTAGATCAGGCACAGTTATGAGCGTGACATGAGTCAGCCCATTTACAATTCTACTAATCTTGAACGAGAAATGTCCCCCCTTTGGGAATGGCCTAAAGACACTTCAGTCAGTGGCACTGCCCCGGGGGGGGGGGATAAGAGTTTTACGGCACTTGCAACACAATAAGGTCATATATAAGTGCCGAAGATTAGAGGTGTGACAAGAGAGTAAGTAACAATGACATTAAAAGGAAGAAATCAATTTGAACCTTAAAAAAGTCCTTGACATCTGAATCTGTCTTTTCGATTGGATCTGTGACACTTTCATACAATTCTTGCATATCTTGTTTTAATGAATTGCGGCCCATTTTTCCACGTTCATCCTTCTGTATGGTGGTGGATTCACATCTTGAGATGGTAATGTGGAACAAAACGACAAGAAAATTATTAACTTGTATGAAAAAGTAGCCTTAAAACCCCCCCAGCTTATCAACATAATAGTATGTACCACAATAATAACAAATTGTAAAACTGGTCAACAAACATTATAAGAGTGAAAAGGTTCTTTCTCATTTCAGCAAGCGTTCTAAAAGCATATATAATAAGATAAAAAGGAGATTTACAACATCAAGTTTCAACAAATCAGCTCATCTTTCGATGTCTGCAATACTTTAAACTTTGAAATTAAATTACAAAATTAAATAGTCTCATAAATTTAATTAAAACAGAGAGAATCTGAAGACATGAACTCCACCTACCACTACCTGTGCTCAATTTATTCACATACGGATGTCAAATAGAATCTGACCAGTAGCCTAAACAAAATCTAAAAAGTAGCCTAACAAAATTGTTATAATGCAAGATTTTGGTAACCATTTTTTTTTTGGGGGGGGGGGGGGGGGGGGTGTAAGTATTTTACGGAGCTCGCAACTGCATAATAAGGTCATATGAGGGCGCGGGACACATTAAACATTTTCAGTTGGCAGGGAATTTTCAATTTTGCCAGGGTGGCAGCCGAAGCCTACTCTTATCGATTTTAGACCACAAAGAGATCTTTAACGTGTGAGCAACTTGCACATGGGACCTCCGAGATTTTTTGCCCTGTCGAAAAGGCAAGGTGTAGATCTTTCCTACCATAAGACCAGGGGTGAGGCTGAAATACAGCAGTAAGAAAGAACAAAGGAGTAGCAGTAGAAAGGCCGCAGAAAGAGTCAGGAGCCCAGAGGAGGGGGCAAAGGAGGTGAAGGGGTGGGGGCAGAAAGTGGAGATGAAAGAATATTGTAGAGAGTAGAAGAGGTGAAAGGAGACAATTTTAGATAAGAAAATTTTTTTCGTCTCGTTAAGGAGAGGCGAACACCTCAACCTCTAGGCCACGAGAGCCCCCTACAAGATTTGGTATCGCACAAATTTTACAGGAAACACGAGAAAACAAAAGACTAAATTTTAACTTTACAACTGGTGCTCTACCAGGACAAAAAAAGGATCTATAGAACTCTGAGGTAGTCACCCATTTTCTTTTTCCACAGCCGCCATCATCTCTGTTGGTTGGGGAATACTGCCATTCATTGGTACAGCTGAATTGGAGGCATCCACGCCGTTTGGACTCACAACACGGCTGTCCATATGACAGACTGCATGAGAGGCACTCATTTCCAAGTTTCCTGGAAAGACCGTTATCAAAATACAACAACAAAATTAAAGCTTACATAATTTACTTTTTAAGCTTTCTATTATTGAAAATAATAGGGTCAGTTTGGAAGTAGACCTCTATGTTAGTATCATGTTATAAATATAAATGTGTGTGTGTGTGTGTGTGTAAATATATTATCATACCTTAATCAAAGCGGCTAGCCGTACTTAAGTACGGCTAGACTGAGAGTCTAGCCGTACTTTTTAAGTACGGCTAGACTGCCAGTCTAGCCGTACTTAGATCTGGGTTTGGCCCAACTGTAAAGTACACAGGTCTCATTAGATCTAGATTTAGTAATTATTCAGGTTCAAATACATGCGAGTCAGTAAGGCACCTTTTGGTTTTGTCTGAAAAAGAAATACTTTAGGCAATGCGAACTAAAAATTTCATTTACAATTCAACCATCAATATTAAGTACGGCTAGCCTGACAGTCTAGCCGTCCTTAAGTACGGCTAGCCTGGCTGTCTACCCGTTTAAGTACGGCTAGACTGCCAGTCTAGCCGTACTTATCTTAGTAGGCCCTATTAACATTAAAAAACAGGAGGTTTAAAATACATGCCCTGTCATTAAGGTACCTGGTTTCGTCTCAAATACAAATACTTTAGGTACTGCACACTAAAAATGTATATTTACAATTCAGTAGGCCTATTTTTTGTAAATGGTCAGTCTAGCCATCATATTAAGAATAAGTACGGTTAGACTGCGAGTCTAGCCGTACTTAAGTACGGCTAGACTGCAAGTACGGCTAGACTGCCAGTCTAGCCGTCATTAAGTACGGCTAGCCTCTTCCTACATTAATTGAGTGCATTTCTTTTTGTTATAACGCAAAGAGAAACTAGATTCTAGATCTAAATCTAGAGTAGATCTAGATCTAGATCTAGATTAGATTCTAGATCTATATCTAGAATCTAGATCTATTATACTTACTTAATACTAGATCTATTGACTTTTAGATCTAGACTAGAGTCTAGATCTAGAATATATAGATCTATACTAGATTCTAGATCTAGATCTAGATCTGGATCTCTTGTTCTGAAATAAAATAAGACGCAACCAATAGGCTTCACATGCATATATACACACCTTATTCGTTCGTGTCCACTCAGTCAGCTAGCCCAGGTTTCATAGTTTCATGAAAACGCAGACTGGTAGAGGACCAGGATGCTTAGCCTAGGCTAGATCTAATTACAATTCACACGAATCTTCCACAATCCGCAGAGAAAACAGTGTGTGGAAAACACTCGACTCGTGTTTACGTTTTGCACAGCTTAAAGATGATTGGTCTACGCTGTTATGTCTCAGCAGTGACAGCTTGGCCAGTCCTAGCCTAGGCCTACTAAGCTAAACTCTAGGCCAACTGTCTCAAAACTCAGAGCTTTTCTTATCGGTATGGCAGGGTACACTCATGCGTCAAGTTTTATTTGTGTAGAATCTAGGCCTACACAATAAAAACAAGAGATCAACCCCGATACAGACGAATAGCAAGTAGCCTAACTAGGATAGGATGAACGCATCTCTCGCCTGACCCCTCGTCTTGGTGGTGTGTTCCATGGTGTGACCCGTATCATTATCATAAATGATGCAACGCTATTTTCATTTTCTGACAGAAAAACTAAAATTGCGAAGGCGCAACTAGGTCAGTGGGTAAACGGGTCGCGCTGGCATCTGGTTGCCAGGCCCCTCCCCACAGCAGGGTAAAAAAGATAAGGACGATTCTCAGTACCATTTGAAATACGTGGCACATAATGTATTCACTTACCATACTCTCCACCAAAGTCGATCGTTCGTCAGAACGAACAGACATCTTTATAAGGAAAGTCATAACTCTGATTTTTTTTTTCTGACATAGGCCTATATATGTAAATGGAGTGAAAGACAAGGCAAAGTAATAGGCTATAAACTTAGTATAAACCGTTATAACGTCCGGTGTCGCAAAAGTAACAGTAGTAACAGTTATAATTAAAACATGGGGTGTTGTCGAAGGGACAAGTCAGCCTTGGCAGACTTTAGCCCAAGAGTGGAACTGTGGAACCAGTATATTATAGATTTAGCTCTGCCACGATGATACTTTCTTGGGTGAATATAGTCCTGGTTGCTTTGGCATAGAAATCCTGAGCCATCTATCATGGATGCTATGTGTCAGCTTCTAAGCTAATGTCTATTCACTTACTTAATTTTACTTTTTCCTTCCTCTGGTATCCTTAGGATGTCGAGGGGAGGTGCAAGTTTCGGTCCTGTGCTAGGTGTGCAGCGTCTGTGATAGATAGATCTAATATTTTATGTTGTTCCAGGACCTTTTTATCCCCATATCCAGCCAGGTCTTTATTGGTCTTCCTCTTGATTTGAAGCCGGATTCTTGGGTGTTGTAAGTTCTAGCCACTAGGTGCTTCTGGGGCATACTGGTTAGATATCCAAACCATTTGACTCTAATTGACGCTCTATGAATTTTATTTCTGGTGGTATTCCAGTTTGTAGAAGTTTCGTTTCGTTTCTTCAATGCAATCAATAAAATGTGAGGAGTCAGGGGAGGTAGAAAGACGGATTAAAGGAGTCAAAGGAACCCTGACAAACTACGTCTAAATTTGAAAGAACTGCAGAGTCGCCCTACCATAGACAACTGCACCCCCACCCCTCCCAACACTCAACGGCAGCAGAAAATAAAAAAGTAAAAGCTAGTAATATGATGGGATCTCTCTCTCTCTCTCTCTCACTGTCTCTTTCTCTCTCTCTCCCCCTCCCCCTCCTCTCTGTCGGTCTCTCTCTTTCTCTCTGTCTCTCGCTTTTTCCCTGTCTGTCTGTCTATCTGTCTGTCTGTCTCTGTCTCTCTGTCTTTCTCTCTCTCTCTCTCTCTCTCTCTCTCCCTCATTTGAAGTATTTCATGTGTTTTTTGAAGAGGGAAGAATACCATAGGCCTACTTGTTCTTCGAGACACTTCGGTCCCCTTTAAAGCCATCTTATTTTTTTTTCAACCGTGATTTCTTTCACTCCAGGTCGTAGATCTAGTCAATTTAGAATAATTTTGAAAATGATCTTGATTACACCCACGCCAACTATGATATTATTCATCAGGCAAGGTGGTTCGTTCTCAAAAGCAGATGGTCTGCGAGTGGGTCCACGTATAATGTTCCAGTCAACACACGCGACACGTGCTATCAATTACCAAAATAGTCGTGACACGTGCTACGATTACAAAACACAAAAAAGTAGGCCTACAGTTTTTGAAAACTGTGAATGCAAAATGGCAATGCTATTTATAAGTTATGTGAATTCCCGCACAAACTTTGACCGAATCTTTGACTCGTTATGTTAAAATCACGATGCTTTTGGGCTAATGATGATCACTGTGCCAACCAAGAGAGATATTAATGCTCTTAGTTTCTATATTGACTGTGTTTTATTGTGCGAAATAGTTTTATCTAGCTCTGGATACGAGAAAGAAGAACACTTTAGAAAGAAACATTGAAAAGAAATATTGCGAAAAATAGATATACGAAGAAAAGCAATTGTGTCACCGGAAATTGCAATTCTGCCTTTCCACAACATTGTCCCAACATGGTAGGTTGGAATCAGAAATTGCTGCATTTATTTTACTTGTTACTCGTGTAATGTTATTGTTCGAAAAATGCTTTTAGGATTTATATGAGGAGTACCATATAATCCATCTTACAGGGAGTGTGGTATAGGGTTAGAGGCCTCCCAAAGCTTTATTCCCTTTCAGACTTTCAGCTTCCTTCTCAGCATCTCAGCAATGGCAGTGAATAATAAATAGTGATTCTTCTTTCTTGGCTTGGGGAAGTGGCTATGTTGGGCGCGATCTGTCGATTTGCGCGATCCATCGACCGCTGCGCATTTGGTTGATCAAGGAAACGCGCGACAATCCATCGATTGTTGCGCATTGTGTTGATTAGCAGATCGCGCAGCGCGCAGCGCTTTTTGTCAATCCGTTTCCCCTGAGTTTTAGTTTTGTTATGTTTTGATGTCGTCCAGTGTGTAATTTAGTTTCACTCTCCAAAGTCAAACCGAAACTGAATGGAAGTAACTGGAAGTCAGGGTTGTCTATTATAACGAACTAATCGAAGTGACAATTCGAGTCCGAATAGACAAAAATTATATTCGGACTCTGATTTGAGTCCAGTGTGATGTCCGTTCCAACTTCCGACCCTTGTGCCTTGTTTCTAAATATTTCCAGCATTTATTAACATTTTTTTCGATTATAATGAAAACAATTGAGACGTGAGCTTTAATATCCAGCGACTAGATCTAGATCTAGATCTAGATCTATCTAAACTGACCCTCCCTGCGTCGATCGTCATAGTATGAACAAAACTAAGTTGAGCTGACCTTGCCTTGCCGGGGGCAAAGTTAATTGTTTCGACCAATGAAACTGTGCGTAGCGATCGCATTCTCGGCTTATGGGGGAAGAGGTGTTGGGAAGGGGCCACGGCTGTCGGTTTAGTGCGATGTGATTTTAAAAATAAATTACAGAAAAACTCAACACTCAACAAAATCAAATTAAACATGTGGAAAGACAAATGGTGGTAGAAGTAATGGTGATGCTGTAGTGGTGGTGGAAAAACCCTGAGTTGTCGGTTATCGTGTACTTTGACACTGCTATTGGGTAGATCTAATGAGAGTGCAATCAGGGTTAGGCCTCTATACTTATAGGTCGGTGAGTATCACTCCGAACACTTATTCATTATGGAGTGGTTGGTTGTGCTCAAACTCAAGGTGCTCTTGTTCAAGGAAACAATAAAGAAAACAATACTTGTATATAATAAATGTTTAATCAACACACAACAATTTATCACAAGCCATTAAATCTTGACCGTATTTGGAATACCATGTGAAGTACGCAGCCAGTCACATCCGTCCAAATACTGAGTGCAGGTGCTCGATTTTTAAAACGTCGTGTCAATTTATCTGCCTCACTCAACCGTCAACATTTTAAGTAAGTTCATCTCACAACTCTTCTTGGATGCTCAAACTCAAAGACTGACGTGCTCAGTAAACCAATTTTCTTTTTTAAAAATTCACTTCATTATCATAGTTTATCAACAGAATGCGCAGTAAGTATATATTTCAAGGATCGACAAAAAACGCTGCTCGATCCGCTGATCAACAGAATCGATGGATTGTCGCACGTTTCCTTGATCAACCAAACGCGCTACGCGGTTGATGGATTGCGCAAATTGACAGATCGAGCCCAACAGCTATTCTCTCCCCGGGTGAGATTAGTGAGAATAAAAATACAATTGATCTCTCATCCCGGGTGAAACCTGCCAGCGGTGGCTATTGTCACCCGGTGTGAAACAAGACCTGTTTTTCCTAAATTCTGAATACTTTCTATCGGTGTAGTCTAGGTCTAGATCTAGTGATCAAATTGACAAAAACAGAAAAAAATGGGCGATTTTATGAGATTCCCGCGATTAATTGAATTCTGATGTGTTTTTCAGGGTTAGGGTTAGATTCTAGATCTAGGGACAAAAGCGAAATATTCCTGAGGCTATGAAACAAATCGCACATCGGAATTAAATGCGGGAATCTTAACAATGGCAAAAAAAATGATATTTTATAGCACAAAAGTTGGCGCTTTTTCGGTAGTTCCCTCCCCGCAATTGTCATTGGCTGGTTTTGGCCCCAACAGTAGGGGGGTTTCCGTGGGGCTCAAAGCCTGTGCCTTAATAAAAAATGGTGGGGGGTTTCAGGGGGGCATGACCCCCTGAATTTTACAGTAATTTAATGTTTTGCAGTTGTTAGTAATTTTAGGTTTGATATCTTAACTCGCCGCGCATTAAATGTATAGGTCTAGATGTAGGCTCAAATAAGGGGGTTGGGAACTGCCGAAAAAGCACCCAAAAGTTAGCCGCGTGGTGTTGGGCCAGAGACTTTGGTTGGGCCGGCCTATGTCTATTTATAATACCTCCGGTTTTGGCCGTTAGTAATGCTGAAGAAGGAAATTTAAAAAGGCGAAGAGAGAACTGGGCCCAAAATCGGAGAATAGTAAATTGTCAATGGTCAAGCTGTGAACCAAGGGCTCCTAATCAACTATTATCCATCATTCTTAAATTATTACTCTGGGTATATCCCAATTCAATTGCTATTGTATTATCAGTTCGTTCATGCTTGCCCTACTCAGGGTTAAGCCCCAATTCAATTGCCATCAGTTCATGATCTTGTTATTTTTCACATTCCACTGTTTGTTTTGAAACTGAAAAATAGCCGACAGCACAGCATTCGCCTCTCTCTTCCCCTTCCAGTTCCCCAGTCCTGGTTTGACCCCAATTGTAGACAGTGTAGCGTCGCATTTGTTAGATTCTATCGATCGCCTGCTTTGCGGACGAAAGAATTGCAGACAGTCACCTCTCGCTCTTTTCCGAATGAAATATCGATACCGAGTATTAAAGTCAATATTGACATTCGAGTACTTTTGGGGAAGACGACAAAAAATCGATGGCGGAAATACGTCATCAATATGTGGGCCAATCATGGAGGTGTGCTAGGTGCTCTCTGTAGCTTCATGAAATTAAATCTACCGTAGGCTACGTGTAGGCTAGGCTATGCCATGCGATTACTATCATTGCTATCATAATCATTATCATGTATCAATTTTTTTGTAGTACTAATTTGTAGCCTTATTTGTACTGCAATTTTATTCTTTGTTAAAATCAAATTATTGATTGTTTATATCCACACGTTGTTGTGGTTTTGGACCTATTGTAACTGTTTACTTCTTGTTGTAAAACAGACTTGTTAATGTGGGTGGTTGGCGGGTGCTCTGGTGTGGTTTGCTTCTTCTTTCCTATCAAACATCTATCGTCCTTATCTCCCCTTCTTTTTTTATGTATGTTTGTTACTCTCTTGTAACACCTCTAATCTTCTGGTGCTCATATGACCTTATGCAGTTGCGAGTGCCGTAAAACCTCTACTAAAACTAAAGACTTGTTAACTGATGTGACTCTGTATGACTATTGTGGTTTTCTTTTTCAGCCTCAGAACGAGTACATCGAGCTTCATACAAAACGCCATGGCAGGCGTTTGGATTATGAAGAGAAAAAGTAAGTGTTTTGATGTGTAAACTTCAACGATGTAATTTTTGTTGTTTCTATATATGTGTCTCGACACAGTGGAATCTGGCGCTTGTCAGTTTTTGGACATGTGGAGTTACTGGTATCACTTTAAAGGTTTGGCGACTTCCAAAGCTTGACAGTCCTTAGAAACTGCAAATTTACATTTTTGTGCTTTAACTCAACATTTTTCAGTAAAATCCAAACAGGTGTTTTTAAATGGACCTTAAAGGTGTTGAGTCAAAAAAAAAGGTAAAAACTGCCAAGCGGACAGGAAAACGCCAGTTTCTTCGATTTCATTATTTTGATGCATGAGCGCTTGATTTCATCACAATGCCTCACATATATATATATTTTTGACAAATTATGGTTTTTACCCCTCTTACATCTAAACCTTGGTCATTGTAAATGTTTACCCAAGTAAACTTTGTTACGTATTTTTTCTTTAAAGCCCTTTTGTTGCCCCATTTTCTAGCTTTGTGTCATGAAAGTTGACAAAGTTTTCTTTTCCTAGTTGCCAGTAATGAATGTATGTCCCACTAATCACCTGGCTCTATTGTTTCTACACAGAGATTTAACTACAAGCACAGTGTTGATTTACATTTAGGAGAACAAAAATGTGCACATTTGTAACAAATTTAAAATAAAACAGGATTTGTTTCTATGAAAGTGTTCTCTTGTGAAACATAATATCAAAGTGAGTTTAATAAAGCGAAAAATTTCACTTTTTGACTTAAAATTGCAAGTTGTTTAAAATTGATGGCTGTTAAGCACAATTGGGCTATCCCGAAAAATGCTGTTTTGAGAAAAGCGAATGTAAAGTTTTTCCCCTTGTTCAGTTTCTTTAAAAGACAAGGAGAGTTTCCTCTATAACCAAACAAATATACACTCCAATGAAACCAAACTTTCTCCTGCAGGTAGGGCAATGCCCACTTTTGGTGTAGGTAAAGATTTCTGGAAACCCTCCAAAATCTGGGTTAGCCCGCTTGTCCTTAAAAAAGTGACCAATAATGGGGATGAGGAAGATGGCGCTATCGAAGACCCCAGGTCCGAACATGAGAGGGCCAGATCCAGACAGCGAGTCCGCTGAAACAGAGTCCGTTGATGTCTTGGCTAACTATCTTAGCTGAAATTCTGGGCCCACAGTAGAATGCATAGCCCTTGACAACAGAGGGGTTACGGAGATGATCTGATAAACTTTTTGCAATTTTTTGTTTGTTTAAAAAAATATATATTTCTGCCTCATTGTACTGTCCATTTGCTCATTTAGAAATATGATTTTATGCAGAATTTTAAATGACTGGGTAGAAACTGTTTTTTTTTTTTTCTTCAATGAAAATCACACATTTTATCTGACTTTCAGGCGTAAAAAGGAGGGTAGAAGACCCCATGAAATGGCCGTGAAGGCGAAAAAGTTAAGAGGAATCAAAGCAAAGTTGTACAACAAGAAGAGACATGCAGAGAAAGTACAGATGAAAAAGACGTGAGTACCTTTCTTGATTTAAAAAAAAAAGAATTTAAGGTGCTTTTGATGAATTTTGATCACAAAATTGTTGGACCGAAGAATGCCCATGATTTAAAAATGCAGTCGGGTAACAAACTGACTGTCTGTTAAGAGTTTGATGTTTTTACCCGTAGTTATGAAACTGAATATATTCTTATATCGTATCAAATACCATGATTCACTTAGACACATATTCTGGAAGCATAGATAGATCTTGTCATACTTTGAAGAAGGGGGAGGCCCTAAATAGAAGAAAAGAAGTGGACCTAGCAACCTGCCTTGGAACCATAACAGTCGCAATGTCTGACAAGAGCAGAGTGTTTTATAGCAGGAAGGTCAGAGAAGCAACGTCCTGTTACTGGAAAAGCTAAGAAGAAGATATATGATTGGATAAAATACATTTGTACGTAAACTATGGTAAATGCTCATTAATTATTGCTCCCAGGAGTGTTAACATTTCTCTGGGTTACTTGTGGATAAATGATGAAGGCAATGCCTTCTGTTGTCTTAAATTTTTGTAAATGAGATTTTTCTCTGTTATTTTTATCCTGATATGTGACTTAGTACTTAATGTAAACCCTTTTTCCTGCCCTGAGCATCTTACACCTGTGCGTATAGAATCATTTTAACACAAGTTAGATTTTTTTTTGGTCATTTGAGTTGATGCGTTTGGTAGAATGATGCTTATCACAATATCCTGTGTGCCTTTTTAAGAATGATGCTAGAAAGGCATTTCTCTTTCTTGTTCTCTAACTTGCAGGTTGTGTTACATGCTGACATTTAGTTCGTTGTGACTACAGGAATTTGTTAATATGCTATTATATTAATAATTATTGAAGCTCAAATAAGTATTGAAAAGGTATTAAATAATTTGCTAGGTTAAAAAAAAAATTTTTTTTCTTTACACCTGTCAAATTTACATTTTTCCAGTATCAAGATGCATGAAGAGAAAAAGACGAAACAGAAGTCTGCAGACAACGACTCACAGTTTGGCAATCCCAGCTATTTGTTGGAGCGTGAGAATCAGATCAGAGCCAAGGTTCTTTCCAACACTATAAAACAGAAACGTAAAGAAAAAGCGGTGAGTGCTGGTTTTAGTGATACGCATAGCAGAGTATAGCATTACCAATGGAGAAAAAGGGATCACTTTTCACTTAAGCCCTTTTTAGTTTGATGCCTCAGAAAGAGCTTGCTGTGGGTGGTGGGCGGGTGCTCTGGTGTGGTTTGCTTCCTGTTTCCTATTGAACATCTTTCGTCCTTTTTCCTCTCCTTCTTTTTTATGTTTGTTACTCTCTTGTAACACCTCTAATCTTCTGGCACTCATATGACCATATGCTGTTGCGAGCGCCGAAAAACCTCTACTAAAACTAAAAAGAAAGAGCTTGCTTCTCTAAGCATTATGCTTAGAATTATTAGAAACTTTTAAAAAATCTGTTCATAATTGGAAAAGTTACAGGGCTCAAAGGTATGACAAGATGGAGTTACCTTTTTGAAGGAAATTTTTCTTCAAAGATGACCACCCTACAGAAGTTTCTGTAATATAATTCAACAAGAATGTACCTCCTCATTGCTGCTTGTTGGTTTATACTTCCTTAATTTTGCTCTTTCTTTCTGTCTGTACGTCTTGCTTTGTCACCAGTGCTAAATGACTGCTCTTGTGTTGTCATGTGCTTCTGTTTCCCTAAAACTCACAAACTCCTCATCAGTGGGTGGTTGGCGGGTGCTCTGGTGTGGTTTGCTCCTTCTTTCACATCAGACATCTGTCATCCTGATCTGTCCTCCTTCTTTTTTATGTTTTTTACTCTGTTGTAACACCTCTAATCTTCGGCATTTATTTGATCTTATTGTGTTCCAAGTGCCGTAAAACTCTTACTAAAAAAAAAAACCTCATCGGAATCACATTTGATCTTTTTGAGCATTGGAATTGTTTCTGTTTGATCAGGGCAAGTGGAACGTGCCCATCCCCAAGGTGAAAGGCGTGTCTGAGGCTGAAGTGTTCAAAGTTGTCAAGACTGGGAAAACAAAACGTGAGTTTACCGGGGTAATGACATTTTTGTCCCCTCCCCCCTAACTGAAAATACTCTTCTATTTCCATGAATTTAAGAAGTAAAATATGTTTTGCTGTTAGGCCGTCGTGATTGTGGGCGCTGGATGTGTTGGTCCTTGTGCCAGTTTAGTTGGCCGACATTTGACAGGGTTCCTAGGGGTCTTGGAGAACTGGAAAAGTCTTGGAATTTTGTTTTTGTTTTCCAAGACATTGAAAATTCTTAGAATTTTGGGAAATTGGCAAAATTCTTGAAAAAGTCTTGGAAAAACAAATTTTAAATTAGATCTATTGTAAAAATGTTTCCTCGAAGTTTGGAAGGCTTCGACTTTACGCATTTTGAAGTGTACCGCCATGTATTTTTACATGTTGAATGAAAAATTTCTACCAAAATGACACTTTAATTGTCTTGGAAAAAAGAAATCTGGTCTTGAAAAGTCTTGGGGAAAAAAAAATATCCGGCTCATTATGAACCCTGCTTGTCAGCAAGGTTGATTCCACTTTTGAAGTGCGGGACAAGTTCTGGTGGATCAATAATGGGTGTACTTTTGAGTACTGTGGCTGTAGGGTGATAGATTTTCTCCCAGTAGCAAAGGAATTTTGGATACTTTCCTAATTTGAAGAATTTTGTCTGTTACACACAATCTGTTCTGTTACATGATCTTGCTTGTTCATTGTCATGATAATGTTGTGGTAAAAAAGTATTCAAATACTAAAAAAGAGACAAATCATGCTTGTTTTTTTTATTTGGTGGTATGGTAACTTAAGTTATAGTATAGTAATGATATTGAACACTCTACGGTTTCACTTGACCTACAGTTACGTATGTAAAGTTTTTAGGTGGGTATTTGGCGGGTGCTCTGGTGTGGTTTGCCCTTTCTTTCCTATCAAACATCTTTGTCTTTATCTCCCCTCCTTCTTTTTTGTGTTTGTTACTCCTTTGTAACACCTCTAATCTTCGACACCTATATGACCTAATTGTGTTGCAAGTGCCGTAAAACTCTTACAAAAAAAAGAGTTTTTAGATCAGAATGACTTGGAAGGGTGAAGGTCAGAAGAAGGATTAGATGATGAATGAGCCAGAAAGCATGTGTGCACTATGGTTAGATGAAATGTTGTTTTCTTTTGGGTTTAGATCCCGTAAACATTGTCAGTACACAGTTTTTGCTATGCAGCTATTGGAATGTTGTTATCATTTTCATTGGAATAATTCACTTTATGCTACTCTGTTCTAGGAAAGGGATGGAAACGCATGGTTACCAAGGTGACTTACGTGGGAGAAGGGTTCACAAGAAAGCCTGTCAAATTTGAGAGGTTTATTAGACCAATGGTAAGTATGATCAAGTTTTTGCTCAAATTGTCCCATTTTGTCCACCCCCCGCGGCAGTGCTACTGACTGAAGTGTCTTTAGGTCATTCCCAAAGGGGGGGGCATTAACCATGTTCTTATGTACAGTAGAATTGTAATTGTAAATGGGCTGATTCATCAATGTCATGCTCATAACTGTGCCTGAACTGCAACAGGGAAATGCTGCTTTTTCTTTCCAAATCTTTACTATCGTCTTTTTTCCCTCTACTTCTTTTGTATGTTTGTCACATTCTTGTGACCCGTTATTTCCGGTGTGCCTTGATTGTTGAAGCAGACTTTGTGCTGTTGAAGCTGGAGAGGTGAGCAGAGTATGTCTGATTCCCTGTAAGGACTTTTCTGTTGACATCCACCCTTTGGCGCTCATATGACCTTGTGCAGTTGCGAGCGCCGTAAAACCTCTACTAAAGCAAAAAACAAACTTTTTTTCCAGAGCTCATTCGATTGTTCCCACACATTGTAAAATATTCTGTAAACCTGAGATTCTGGATGGGTGGCTGGCGGGTGCTCTGGTGTGGTTTGCTTCTTCTTTCCTATCAAACATCTATCATCCTTATCTCCAATTCTTCTTTTTTATGTTTGTTACTCTCTTGTAACACCTCTAATCTTCTGGCGCTCGTACGACCTTATGGAGTTGCCGTAAAACCTCTACTAAAACTAAAACTAACTGAGATTCTGGTGGTAAAATCTTTCAATGATGAGCACATTTGTGTCTCTAAATAGACACCTGTCAGATTTACACTTCCGTAGAAGCTATCTTGTAATCCGAAGCATTTGAAAAGTTTATTTGTATAGGATTGTTTTTTAACTCTATCCGTACACCATGTTTTACTATCATATCCATACGATGTGGGGGAACTCTGTGCCAGCACTTTCCAAAGAGGAAATTTACTAGTCAATCTGATCCGTATGATTTGCATAGCAGTCTGTCAAAATGATTTTTTGAGAAATACTGAAAGTTTCAAAGAGATCTTTGTACTAGAAGTATTCTAAAATGTGAAGAATACACCCTGGGCACAAAATGACCCCAGTGCGTACAGATAGGGTTAACTACTTCATCCATGACTTGGTCTATTGTTGTATGGGTTCTCTTTGAAAATCTTATCTTGATAATTTTTTTTCATGAAGATTGTTGTAGGCTACATTATTTTTTTTTGGTCATGACTGGCGTTTGGGGTTTCTGCGTCATATTGTTTCCTTTCATTCAAAGTAAATTTGCATTGTCTGTTTGTGTTGAATGTGGGAAGCGAGTAACTCCGCAAGTTTTTGAATGGGGAGACGGTCACTTCATACTACTAATATTTTGTTTCAATCTACAAAGTGTGAAGTGGGTGGTTTGGCGGGTGCTCTGGCGTGGTTTGCTTTTTCTTTCCTATAAAGCATCTATCGCCCTTATCTCCCCTTCTTTTTTAAAATGTTTTTTTACTCTCTTGTAACACCTCTGTTCTTCTGGCGCTCATATGACCTTACTTGTTGCGAGCGCAGTAAAACGTCTACTAAAACTAGAACAATGTGTGAAGTACCGGGTGGTTGCAGGGCACCACTGGTAGGTGCCACTACCTTTTTTTTTTTCTTTTTGTTTGTCTGCTTTGCTTTTTTCCCTGCTCTAAACAGGTGTTACTGTGTCAGTCTGCTTCTCTTTTCTCTGATTCGGTGGACAAGTTTTGAAGTTTGTTTGTGGGTGGTTGGCGGATGCTCTGGTGTGGTTTGCTCCTTCTTTCCTATCAAACATCTGTCGTCCTTGTCTCTCCTCCTCCTTTTTTTTTGTTTGTTACTCTCTTGTAACATCTCTAATCTTCGGCGCTTATATGACCTTCTTGTGTTGCAAGTGCCGTAAAACTCTTACTAAAACTAAACTAAACCTCCTTCTTTTTTGTGTTTGTTACTCTCTTGTAAAACCTCTAAACTTTGGCACTTATATGACCTTATTGTGTTGCAAGTGCAGTAAAACACTTACTAAAACTAAAGAAGTTTGTTTCTTTATGGTGTTGTTTAAAAAATGATGTTGTGCACTGAATTTCTCTCAACTTTGCTGTCTCTGCAGGGTCTCCGTTTCAAGAAAGCAAACGTCACGCATCCAGAACTGAAAGCTTCCTTCTTTTTGCCCATCATTGGCGTGAAGAAAAACCCTAGCTCTACAATGTACACAAGTCTAGGTGTCATCACCAAGGGAACAGTCATAGAAGTAAGATGGCGTTATAATTGCTTGCTTTGATTTTTCCAGATCTCGGAAAATACTTTATATAGCGAGAAAACACAACTGATAAAAAAAACCCTGTAAATTCATTGCCATATAAAGACGAAGGGCTACAACTAAGATGGCTGCTGGATCAGAAAAGTAAATAAGAGTTTGAGCATTTATAATGTATACAGTTGAATATATGCTCTAACTGCTACCTGTCCAAGAGAATTTCCTTTGCAAATGACCACTTCCCCCCTCTAGCTTTTTGTCTATATTCTGATGACACTGTCCCAAGGCGGTCCATCTTCCGAAGACAACCATTTTTCCCTCGATAAATGGTGGCTGTATTTGGCAATTTCTACTGTTGGTCTATTATGCAACAAGCCTGCACTTACCAAAAGCAAGTGTCTCTTTTATTAGGTCAGTAATGGGTCTGTGAGGTAAATGGATCTATAGTACTGTGTGGATTTTGTTCCAATAAATTTAGATTTCATTGAATTCCTAAGCCTTTTTAAGCTTCGGAGAAAGACAGTGCTACTGTGATATGGGTCTGTTTTGGTAGAGACGGACTCAAAGATGTGATGTAGCTGTTACTTGATTTGCCATGGCACACGCGATATCTGAATTCAACTCCAGTGCAGGGATAAAGTTTATTGAGTCTCTCAGTCTTTCTGCTTGGACCTTGTATCCCTCTCTGTCTGGGTGGACCCTCACACAAGCTGGGTTGAAGTCCGCCTCCTAAAAGATCTAAATTTTGTTGATTGGGGCATGAAACCCAAAATATGAAAAACAGTAGTAGGCCCTACTGGAGTAGTGCAGCGGAATGAGAAGAGGAGGATTGAAAGTGGGTGGTTGACGGGTGCTCTGGTGTGGTTTGCTCCTTCTTTCCTATCAAACATCTATCGTCCTTATCTCCCCTTCTTCTTTTTTATGTTTGTTACTCTCTTGTAACACCTCTAATCTTCTGGCGCTCATATGACCTAATGCAGTTGCCAGCGCCGTAAGAACTGTACTAAAACTAAACTAAGAGGATTGAAAATTTACAATCTGGGATAAGCTTTTATGTGTGATGATCCTGAAGTGAAAATGAGTGCATTTAAAGTTTGAATAAACTAATTATTTTTAAACATAAAAAATAGCTAGGAACTTGCACACCAAGTCCTGACCATTAGCCCACTTTTCAACATTCATTTCCCACTTTGAATTTTCAATATTTCTTTCTTCGTGCAATCCAGGTCAACATCAGTGAATTGGGTCTTGTTACACATTCTGGAAAAGTTGTGTGGGGTAAGTTGATAATGCAAGTCATAGAGGAATGTATTTTCTACATCAGGGCAGCTAAGTCCATGCCCATTTCTTTCTTTGCTTGAAAACAAATTCACTGTATCAAGGATGATTCCATTGGATGTGTTGTCCATCTGAATTTTTTTTTACACTTTGATTTTACTTTTTACAGAAGATAATTGAGATTTTGTTTCATAAATTGATGGCAAAATTGCTCAGTACTGATTTTCAATTATAATTCACCCCGCCTCAGTACTGGAAAGAATTTTTCTATTTAAATTCATGTGGAATTTGTTTTTGAATACCTGAGGGTCACAGCTTGTGCTGTCTGTTTTCTAGTCTTGTCTGACAGAATAAAGGAAATACAATATCATATAGTCGCTTTTAAGCACAATGGGCTATCCCGAAAAATGCTGTTTTGAGAAAATTGAAGGTAAATTTTTTGCCCCTTGTTCAGTTTCTTTAAAAGACAAGAAGAGTTTTCTCTATAAACAAACAAATATACACACCACTAAATCAAAACTTCTATAGGTAGGACAATGCATACTTTTGGTGTAGGTCAAGATTTCTGGAACCCCCCGAAATCTGGCTTTGCTCGCTTGTCCTTAAAAGTGACAATATGTAATGTTTTTACAGGCTTTTTTCCATTGTTCTGTTCTTTTGCCATTTTGTTCTTTTTTTGAGATGTATTGTAATTTGTAAAGGAGAGTCTCTTGTGTTTTGTTATGTTTCTTATTTCTTCCAGTTGTCTCGACAGTCCCAGTACTAAGTGACCTTTTTTGTACTCTGTCTTTGACTGAACTAGGCTCCCTCTTATAGTAAAGTCTGCTTAAATCATCGTCATCATCAATGCCTTTCACCCCTGGCAGGGTATAGGCCACATACAAACTCTTCCATTTATCTCTGTCCTCGGCCATCCTTCCCAGCTCGTTCCAAGTGAGCTTCATCTCTCTCATGTTCCTTTCCACACATCTCCTCTATGTTTCTCGTGGCCTAGCCCTGCCTCGTGCTCCCTGTGGGTTCCACTGCAGCGACTGTCTTATAATGTCTGCTTAAATGGAACAAGTTTATTAAGTTTAACCCAAAAATGGTACGGTAATAAACTGAAAGAATATATATATATATGAGTAAGATCCTGATTTTTTTTCTCTTCTATTTGAGCTACTTTTCTAAACCAAAGAATATCTGGCAGTCTCGCAGATTTTGATTTAAGAAGTCTACTGTATTTATCTGCGAGATAAATGTTTCGGTCTCTGTTAGGCTCTGTATGACACTTATTTAATTTGGAGGAACTTTTTACCAGCATTGGCTTTCCTTGAACTGTTGTGTGATTATGATGAACTGTTTTCTTTTCCAGGTAAATACGCTCAAGTGACCAACAATCCGGAAAATGATGGCTGCATCAACGCTGTGTTGTTAGTGTGATCTGATGTGCTGGGGCGGGAGGGGACAATGTATTATAATAAAAAATGATGTAATCCTAAGATTCTTTCTTAGTTTTTTTCTCTTACTACAAGTGGTGAGAGGTTGCGGTGATGGAGCAGTTAGTGCGCTCGTCTCCGAAGCAGAAAGTCCGGTTCAGACACAGGTTTTTTTCGCCCCCTGCTGCCCACCTAGCAGTAATGGGTACCTGACTTCGAGTTGGGGAAGTCAAGGCGGCGTGGAAAGGAACTGGCCACCCTACCACAATATGCCGAAGGCCCAGGAAGTTGTCTCACTAACAATGCAATCCCCAATATCCCGATCGGATGCGGGAACAACTTTTTTACGTGTGGTTAAGTTTGGAGCCACCTTTATTTGTGTTTATGTTAGTGTGCATGCTGTTTTTGAGTTGGTTGATAGTATGGGGAACCAGTTGGTTGGGGGGCAGACCTGATTGTGTCGGTGTTTAGATTACTGTTCGTTTTGCTTTTTCCATGCACACTACTGGACTATGTAAGTGGGTGGTTGGCGGGTGCTCTGGTGTGGTTTGCTCCTTCTTTCCTATCAAACATCTATTGTCCTGATCTCTTCTTCTTTTTTGTGTTTGTTACTCCCTTGTAACACCGCTAATCTTCAGCAGGGTCTTATCCTTTTCAGCCTGGGTTGGTCTTGACCACGACAGGTAGGGTGGAAGCTTGTCTCTTAAATGATCTAAATTGTGTCAATGAGGGCGTAAAGTGCCTACATTAAAACCAAAAATAAAAGTTAATTACACTACACTAGTTCATAAAATAAAATTCAGGGTTTTTTTGGGTTTTTTTTTTCTTTCACCATCTGATGAACTAGAAAAGTAAAATCAGGAAGAGAAGCAGGTCATGTGGTATGACTCGTAGATAGGAGGTCAATACAACTGAAAGTAAACTAAAACTGATTACCCCCTCTGCTGCCAAATGATTGAGTCAAACCTCACGGAAGACTGGATGAACAAATGGGCCACAGGTACGACAGGAAGGATGATGTATGGCCACATGAATAAACCACTGGTCAAAGATCCAATCAATGAGTTGAGGAGGGAAGATCAATCCCTAATCTTCCAACTTAAAACAAAACATGTGCCCCTCAATCAACATCTCAACCGAATTGGAGTAAAGCAGTCTGCAGCCTGCCCACTAAGTGACTACCCCTCAGTCAGAGACAGTGGAACATCTGTTTTTCTGTAGAAAACTAACTGATTTGAGGGGATGTTTTCTTCCCAAGCTACCCCACACATATAATTGCCTCTACTCCTGAAGACAACAATTAGAACAGACATGCAGCTATTATTACAGAATGGCATCATGCAGAAGAGTTAATGCTCAGATGCTACTGGATCACTAACAATGTGCATCGAGGCGGCAAAAGCACCCGTTTGTAAGAAATCAGTGAACACACTTTCAAACACTGTTGTTTCACATTTTAAATTCATTTAATTCAACAAGAGCACTGAGATGTACAACAAGAAATCTACAGTCTTACAGTCACCTGTTGAAGACAATGTTTCCCCTATTGACGTTAAAAAAAAAATTTAAAATAATGATAACAGATAACATTTGTATAGCGCAAATCTCCGCTTAACAGCTAGCTCGATTCCTACGATTCCTAGTTTGTAATTATCGGGAACCGCCCGCCACTAATGGAAACTGAAAACGTACATTTTTTGTGCCTTTAATCAATGTTTTTCAGTAAAATCCACGAAGAAATGTGTTTTTATATATGGATATAATAAAAGGTGTTGAGCCAATAAAAGAAAATTACAACAAATTGCTCAAGGGCCAGAAAAACGCTTATTTCTTTGATTTCATTATTTTGACAAGCGCCTGATTTCACCATTATGCCTCACATGCTTTCATGTATCAGTATAGCATAATTTGAAAAATTAAACCACACGCATCCTTTCACACATGATATGGTACCCACTGAGAGATCAACTATGGATGATGTAAGTCAATAACAAAACATTCAATACAAAAAAACAGCCGGGGCGGTACATACTTTTGATATTTCAATCGTCAGTTCTGAAATGTCACAAAAATTAAAATACAAAAATGCAAAAACAGAAAATGGGGAGAGCCCGACCCACATCCGGAAAGAGAAATCTGCCCTCCTATTTTGTCAAAATAACTGTCCCCGTGGTTTTATGCACCCCTTATAATTTTGCCAAATATCACTTTTTTGCATAATTTATGATTATTTTCCTTTATCATTCTTTGTTAAAATTAACAGAATCTCATAATTTCACATTTTTGGGCTCAGTTTGCATAATTTCAGAATTTTTCTTGCATAAAACGACGGGGACAAAAAAAATTCAATTGTACCGTATAGAGAAAAAAAATAAAGGCCTGAGAACATGAAAGTGAGCAAAGATGGCAACTTGCGAGTCAATTTGTCCAGAAGTAGGAGAACTTTTCTTACTTTTTAAACATTGCTGAACCATCTATCATCTGAGTGTGAGCGAGCCCTTTGGCTTCTGTAGGTTTCAATAAGTGTTTTGTCGGATTGGACAATTGGTGAGAGTGAGACTTCCTGACACCGAGAGAGGACGATAGGTATATACATGTTCCGCGCAATTTACAGATCAGAGATTGCGCTGCGCGTTTTAATGATCGTACATGTATAATTGCGCTGAATCTTAAGATTGTACTGTGTATTTTAACGAATTGTATCATTCTTTTGAGCTCTTCAGTTTCATATCTTAATTTTAATTTTCATATTTTTACACTTTTGATATGTGTGGATGTTCCTTGATGTGAGTAAAAGAATAAAGATGGAAGTGAATTTTTTAAAAATCATTAAAAAATATAAGATAAATTAAATGTAGGCTACTTTGTGAACTTTGAGTTTGATACATATATCTGGCATTGTATCATTCTTGTAGGCTCTTCAGTTTCATACGTCTCTCGTAGATGCTATGCATGTGTGGAGGAGAGGGGGCCTCTGGTAAATTCTATGCATGAAAGGGGAGGGGAGGGGAGGGGCCCTCTGGTAAAGTCATGCGCTGAATCTTAAGATGTTTGATACATATATCTGGCATTGTATCATTCTTGTAGGCTCTTCAGTTTCATACGTCTCTCGTAGATGCTATGCATGTGTGGAGGAGAGGGGGCCTCTGGTAAATTCTATGCATGAAAGGGGTGGGGAGGGGGGAGGGGCCCTCTGGTAAATTCTATGCACATGTGTGTGTGGGGGGGGGGGAGGAGGAGAGGGGCCCTATGGTAAATTCTATGTTATGTGTGATTTAACATAAAAGATGAGGTGGGTAATTGCGGGTGAAATACATTTAGTATGATGACCCGTTCATGAGTATTTGGATAGTTTACTGAGACATAAAGAGAACCGGTGAACTGGAAGGAAGACAAAATATAACACACTAGCTGGGCCCCCTTTCGATGAAAGGAATGATTGGTGCATTAAAATCGACTGAAAGTCATTGGCCTACTATATTTACACACTACTGGAATGGAAAACAGAAGGTCTAGATCTACACTCTTAAAACAAAATGCACCTTGAATTGTCAAATTCAAATCAGTAGGCATAGACCTAACCTAACTGATCTAGGACAATGGCTGAAAAAAGAAAAACCTCTGCTCCGACTCGATCTTTGCTGTTTCTCTTGATTATCTGACACAGCCGATGCCATAGCACTGTTCACGCACCCCTCGAACTGAGGATCCCCCGACCTACAGAGACCGGTCCCGACGAATTTGAGCAATCCATGTTATATTGTAGTTAGCAACTGCACTGTGTCAACCACCACTTGAATAAAACAATGAAAGTGGTCCAGGAGTGATGTAGTGAATGTAGCATTGGGTGGCATGTTGCATTAGGGGCAACAATGAAGAACTACAACATGATCCAACAGCTATACAACAAAGCCACCAGCGCAGTCCTCGCCCAGGGGAAAATAGGAGATAGGTTCCACACTACTGTAGGTGTACGCCAAGGTTGCCTGCTATCACCTACCCTGTTCAACATCTTCCTTCAACAAATCCCGACTGGTGCCCTGCCTTAAATCTGACGAGGCTCTCTATCATACAGCTCCCTTACGATCCTCGTGGATCAGCAAGCAGTAAGCATTGCGTGGGGTGGGGCTGACCTTAATGTGCACAGGATGTCCTGATAAAGTTGACTTTACTTGTTTCCTCAATATCATTGGTCCACAGAATAGCCTGAGTTACTTTGTTGTTACTTTCTTGTGTGGAGAAATCTATCTCATTCATCTCCTTCAAGGAAATTGTGAAAATGAACCACTCTTTCTGAAGGCAGATGCAAATAAATAAATTACACTTAAAAAAATGCAATTAATCCCGAGACTTTTCAATGAAATGGATTCGTTTTTTCGTCCAATTTGCTTCTTCCGCTAGATCATGTGTCTGGTAAAATTCTAACAAACTTCGGTATCTGTCTAGAACGTTGAAGCCAATCAAATCTTGGAGTTTATGTAGGTCCACGGGGCAGAGCATCATAGGCTGATCAAAGTCCTCTTGTAAATGACCTTAGGAAAAGATGCAATAAATCACATCAGGGAATGTAAAGATATATTATTATTTTGTCATTGGAAATACAAAAAGCCAAATAAAGGAGAAACAACTGGAGAACGGTTAAATTCATGGTGTTTATTTATAGTCAGACCTCAGTGTGACATAGCTAATCATGCCTTACTAAGAATTTCTTACCTCTGCACAGAACATTTCGCCAAGCATACGAAAGAGCAGAGTGATTAGTGTGATTCTACTGCCTATTATTAGACTTGTCTGCCACTTACTGCTAGCACTCGAAGTGACACATATCTTTCTTCCTATGATCAGCTGAGTTAGATTGCAGACAATTGTAAGCAAAACCAACTCTAAAAATGTTGCTGCCAAAGGTGAAAAGGTGACAATTATTTAATGAACTGTGATGGCCTACTGATGGTGATATGCAAGTCATGCTTCCTAGTCTAGTCAAGTTGAGCCCGCATGAGCATTTAACCTCTTCACTGCTGTGTAGACGTACTGATTTGTATTCCCCAAAACTGGTTCTCCTCCCATGATTTGTGAGGCTTCGAGGTGGAATCAGGCGCTCGTCAATTTTTGGGCATGTGGAGTTATTGGTATCATCCTAAAGCTTGTTTACTTGCCTTTATTTAGATGAAAAAAAAATTCAATTTATCTTGAATACAAGTTGAGATATTTGCGAATGAAGGAAGTGGGGGTCACCTGTTTTCAGAGGTAAAGTTAGTGAGAAAATGGCCGCCAAAGATTAGTTATTTCCTTAGCTTAAGAGTCCGAGGTAACTGAACATTTACATTTTTTGTGCCTTTACTCAGCGTTTTTCAGAAAAATCCAAACAGAAATGAGTTCTTTAACGGCATGAAAGGTGTTGAGCCAAAACAAAACAAAATTTGATAAAAATTCACAAACCTGCAAAAAAATGCTAGTTTCTTCACTTTGATTATTTTGACGACAGCCTTTATTCCACCACGCTGCCTCACATTTGTGTACCAGTTTACAGGGAAGTGCAAGGAGATGCAATTACGACTGTGGATTTCTGTTTTATTAACTAAGGACAAATACCATGGCCTTGTCCATCTTGAATGAACTTTTTATCTTGTCTGTACAAATGTTGATGGATACGTCTCAGCAAAGAAGGGGTTAATGAACTCATGCTCCCAGAGACTACCAATGTCACTAACATTGCTTGACGTTTTGCGTCAGCCTAACCTCTCTGTGTCAAACTGAGTTCACTTTAGAGTATTAGTATATTGCACACAAACGAAAACTACAATTAACTTAACCTATCAGAGACACACAACCATCTTATGCAACCAATCAAAGGCCATCTTTCACATCGACACATGAACTAGGATTGATGAGTGCAAGACACGTGTCTTAGCATGTGCCGGTGTAGAGCTGTCCCCGCAGTTTTATGCAAAAAAATAAAAAAGGAGAAATTATGCAAACTGAGCCCAAAAATGTGAATTTATGTGATTCTGTTCATTTAAACAAAGAATGGTAAAGGAAAATAATAAGAAATTAAGCAAAAAATGATCAAATTTAGCTAAACCATGGTGCATAAAACCACAGGGACAGTTTGAGAGGGGTTGTGTCTGATGGAATTGGGGCGGGGTGGGGGTTGGGGGGAACAAGGGTGTGGAGTGTCAGGACGGATGTAGATCTATGCATCATAGTCATATCTTTCCCAGTCATGGAACAATAATATTGTGGTGTGGTTCGCATGAAAAAACCCCCCAAAAGTGAATCTTGTAAAAGCCTACAGCGGTGTGTCATGGGCAGCAACTGCTCACATAAGAAAGCTCTTTAGGGCACCATTGGTTCTTTCCCTTTACACTCATGCAGTGATAGCTTCAGAAGTCCATACTGTTTTTGATTTTAAAAAAGCTTATATATGTGAGGAATCAGAGTGAAATCAAGTGCTCGTCAAAATAATGAAATTCAAGAAATGGGCATTTTTCAGCCAGTTCAGCAATTTTTATTGAATTTTTGCTTTTCCGCTCTACACCTTTTAAAACTTTTATGTCCATTAAAGAACACATTTCGGTGTGGATTTGACTGAAAAACATTGATTAAAGGCAGAACCACGAACTCTCAAGCTAAAGAAATAACTAAACTTAAAATTGGTGGCCATTTTCTCAGTAATTTTTCCTCTGAAAACCAGGCTACCCCCATGCTCCTTCAATCGCAAATATCTTGACTTGTAGTATCCAACATAGATGGATATTTTTTCATCCAAAGCAAGGCAAATGGACAAGCTTTAAGATGATACTAATAACTCCATTTGTTCCAAAACTGACAAGTGCCTGATTCCACCGCGTTGTGACACATATTGTTTTTGATAAAAAATGCTCACATTATTAGCCACACCTTTCTTATGATGAACTTGAAGGGTGGACCCCAAAAAATTATAAGAGAGTTTCACTGTATTATGAGTAAACACACTAAAATGCAAAGGCTTGATTTCTTTTTTCTTTAAAACTAGAGAGAATAGAGCGATGCCTTGCTATGAATCTAAAGCAGTCTATTCAGGATGATAGTGAATGGAAGCGTCGGCAAGTTCAGTTCTGAAACCACATTGATCTGTCCCCGTGACTTTATGCACCCAGCATAATTTAGCAAAATTTTTTCATTTTTTGCATAATTTCTGATTATTTTCCTTTATATCATTCTTTGTTAAAATTAACAGAATCGCATAATTTCACATTTTTGGGCTCGGTTTGCATAATTTCAAAATTTTTTTTTCATAAAACCACGGGGACAGATTGATGATGAGGTTAATCTTTCTCAAGTTCCAATTCCAAGTCTAGATTCTGTGTGTAAGCAGCAGAGAAGGGTAGCAATAACAATTGTATTCATAGCAAATCAAGAGCCTTCATCAAAGTGCTCAATACTGGCCTTTATACAGGGAGTGTTTATGCTGGAGTAAGAAAAGATGATTCACCAGTGCAGGTGTAAGGATTGGGCAGTTGAAGTTACAAAAATAAACCACACAGATAGTTTGACAACAACAAAGAACAAAACTAGCATTCACAATTAGATCATAATAAAGATAATAATAATTATAACAATAATAACAACAACAAAAACAACAATAATGATAATTGCTACTAAACAGCAAGCTCCGTGTGCTTTACGATCTATAGTATTATAGTATTTTTAGCAACTGTTCACACAAAGCGGATAATGAGTCATGCCAGTATAATTCTCGTAATTTAGGTTCACATTAGAAAAAGACTTAACAAACCGCCAACATACCTGAGCCATTCATGCAGCACCGGTAGAAAATGCAGTGATCCACTCCCAATAAGTGACACAGCTCATGTACTAAAAGTTTACAACTTCTCTGCAGAAGCAGTCGCCGTTTCTTAGAAGGAGTCACACTTTTTGATTCTGAAATATCATACCTGTGGGAATAAAAAGTGGAACCACAGATAGTACATACAAGATGGTTCACTCCTTTCTTTGAGCCAATCAAAAAAGCGTCCTCAAAAGTCGGTGACACCCTCTTCTAAAAACCGCATCCTTTGCGAACAAAGTTGCCCTACTTGTGTAAAAAAAATCGAAGTGAAACAAACAAGTTTTTGAATAAACTAGAATTCAAATTTCGGAAGAACACTTTTTAAAAATGGTTACACTGACTAAAAAACCTCTTCCGGTGGAAGAGTCGACTGTTTTCTTTGTTAAATTTGACTTTAGAGTGAGAGGTGATTAAAATAGAAAACCCCAAAAATCCGCACTGAACGAACCCGAACAACTGATGAACAGTAGTCTATCTGCGCCTGCAAGGGGGTGCTATTCCTATTCTTCTTCTGGAGAAACAAAGGAGAGCTTTAAAACAAAGACTGCAGCGCCATCTGAGCCATTGCATGGACTTCCAGCGGACACTTTTTTGGCTGAGTGAACCATCTTGTTATGTACTAGAATCTATCTTTGGTGACCCCCCGGGGCAGTGCCACTGACTGAAGTGTCTTTAGGCCATTCTCAAAGGGGGGACATTTCTCGTTCAAGCATAGTAGAATTGTAAATGGGCTGACTCATGTCACACTCATAACTGTGCCTGATCTACAACAGGGAACTGCTGCTTTTTCTTTCCTGATCCTTACTATTGTCATTTTCCTCTACCTCTTTTGTATGTTTGTCACTCTCTTGTGACCTGCTATTTTGGGGTGCCTTGATAGTCGAAGCACACCTTGTGCTGTTGAAGCTAGAGAGGTGAGCAGTGTAAGTCTGATTCCCAGTAAAGACTTCTCTGTTGACACCCACCCCTTGGCGCTCATATGACCTCATGCAGTTGCGAGCACCGTAAAACCCTCTACTATAAAAAAAACAAACTTTGGTGGAACAAAACTATTGGTCAAATGTCCATTTTTCTTTAGAGAGTATTTATGGCATAATTAGAGAGGTGTTTTTTTGTTTTAGTAGAGGTTTTACGGGCTCGCAACTGCATGAGGTCATATGAGCGCCAGAAGATTATATGTATTACAAGAGAGTAACAAACATAAAAAAGAAGGAGGGGAGATAAGGACGATAGATTTTTGATAGGAAAGAAGGAGAAAACCACACCAGAGCACTCGCCAACCACCCACCGAAAGGTGTTTGCACTGGAGAGAGAAGGCGTGGAGCAGAACCTTACAGTGGTCTATGAAGCAACTGGACAGTGGTCAGTACTAGAGGGTAAATGTTGTGGCTGCATGTAAAAATTGATCAAGTGGATCTTCACCATAGATCAAATATGTCTTGCAATATCATGAGAGAAAAGGGCTAACTACTGCCCTTCATGAAAAAAAAATAAAAATAACCTAAAACAAAATAGAAACCATGCTTTGGGTAGACTTGTTGACCTTAAACATAGACAGAAGAGCTCTTTTAGTTTTAGTTTTAGTAGAGGTTTTACGGCACTCACAACTGCATAAGGTCATATGAGTGCCAAGGGGTGGATGTCAACAGAGAAGTCCTTACAGGGAATCAGACTTACTCTGCTCACCTCTCTAGCTTCAACAGCGCAAAGTCTACTTCGACTATCAAGGCACACCGGAAATAGCGGGTCACAAGAGAGTGACAAACGTACAAAAGAAGTAGAGGAAAAATGACCCTAGTAAGGATTAGGAAAGAAAAAGCAGCAGTTCCCTGTTGCAGTTCAAGCACATGAGCATGACATTGATGAATCAGCCTATTTACAATTACAATTCTACTGTGCATAAGAACTCGAGATGTTAATGTCCCCCTCCTTTGGGAAAGGCCTAAAGACACTTCAGTCAGTAGCACCGCCCCGTTAAGAACATGACTGATCCCACAGATCCATATTTCACACTTCACAAAACATTGAATTTGAGATGAAAAGCAGTTTTTTTCACAGTGTTGTGAAGGTGAAAAATGGAGACATGTATGGAAGAGAAAATGAATGTTAATTAAAACACTGAAGACAATTGTTTCCTCAGAAAATAATATTATGTGGGATCACATTCTTTGAAGGCTAACAAATATTCTTATTGAATTAAAACAGAATTTATAGAGTATCCGAGGAGATAAAAAACTCACCAAAATTCCGTGGAAAATGTCAAGGCTGGATTATACCGCAGTAAACTAAACACAGCAACTCTTTGGCTTCCTGATGCCATGCCAGCAACAAACAAGTCCGTTTCATCTCCATACAGATCATATGGTGTCAGGCCAATGAGGCACAAGGCATCGTGAGGAATGATTTGGCGCATTTTGGGCAAGATAGAATCCACAGAAATCTGAATGTGATCACCTTTATCATTATATCTGAAAAGAAAAAGGGAAATCAGTTTAATCGACATAATAAACAGTCAACTTTCGGGGTGCTTTTGCTGATTTCTCAGATTTAAACAATTTAATTTTCTCTAGAAATTTCAGATCACATTACATAACTTTTAACTTTAAAAAATGCATGTTATTTATAAAGTTATATCATTTTAAACAAAGTAATAGTGCATATCATTTTGCAAGTGCAAAATTGTTGAATTTTGAAGTTTCTCAGTGCTTCAAATTTGTCACTGTTTAAAGCCCCACTGAATACCAGATACATAATTTCTAATGATGTCCACAAGAAAGAAGTCAACTGAATAAAAACTTTGGGATAGCAATGAAATGTTAGTGTCAAGATTACCATGGCTTGCTGCCAAAAACTGAGATAATATAACGACATATTTAAATTGAACACCTGGTACATAATGCAACTGAGAAAAACCTTGAGTATGTTCACTATCCACTATGATTAAATGTGATCTCAAATTTGGTGCTAGGCTTATGCCCTTTCCAAGTTTGTGCTGTGTGCTGCATGATGTTGTATGGCATGACGTGCTGCACAATTCATTTATAGGAGAACATGTGAGTGAACAAATGATGCAAAATGGATAGATGCATAGTTTAAATGATGAGTGCTTGGTCACAGCAGTAATCAACAGCAAAAACAATAATTAAAAAAAAAGCAGTAGTTGTTGATATTGTATTCATCACCTTGCAAACAATCAACTAAGATTACAGAGTTCACGCTGTAAGGAAAATAAGCTCTCTCTAGTGTCGAATTATAGAAGCACTTAAAGTCCTGAGCAGGCAGCATTGGGGGTGTTTTCCATCCTATTTTGCAGGAATTGGAGGAGAGAAAAAAAAAGAAACAGCAAAACTATATTTTGTGTCAGCTTTGAGAGAACTCTGAACATGCCAAGGAAAAAAACTGCAGTTTATTTGTCTTCTGGTGAGCCCACACAGATTTTTCTTCCCATTTCTTTCCTCTTTCCTTTATTATGCACCGCATTTTATTTTCATTATATTAAAAAATATTATTATTTGATCTTCTCTTCTAACTGTTTCTTCACCATCAAAACTGAGTGACAAAAACAGAAACAATAACAAAAATGATAAAGGCAAGTTCATCCAAGTGCGATGGTAAAGAGAAACTTTCATCCCCACTCAGACTAATACAAGTAGGTCCTATATATATCAGGGGCAAACACTGAAAATAATAACCCCAAGCTTGCATTACTGGCAAACAGTTAACTACATGTATATATGGTCACTTTTATGGAAAAGCAGGCTAACCCAGATTTCAGGGGTTCCCAGAAATCTTGACATACACCAAAAGTGGGCATTGCCATACTTATACTATAGAAGTTTGGTTTCACTGGTGTGTATATATTTGTTGGGTTAAAGAGAAAACTCTCCTTGCTTTTGAAAAAAACTGAACAAGGGTCCAAAAACGTTATCTTCGATTTTTTCAAAACAGTATTTTTCGGAATAGCCCCCTTGTGCTTAAAAGCGACCAAATATATACAAAAAACTTACAACTAAACTTCGGCTTCTGGTAACAACTTACCTTGATTCAAGTGAACTCCTCTTTATTCGAGCACTTGATCTGCTTGACGGGTTGCTGGCTGGATCTTCAACAAAGACGAGATCATTTCCTTTTCTCTCAATGGTGATTCCTTCCAAAACAGCAACAGGCATGCACAAAAACCGCTGCACATAGTCCAACAAGTCTTGAAATTTTACATCCGACTGATTGAAATCCCCAACCTTTGCAATGTAAATCTTCCCTTCAGGGTACTTTTCACATATGGTGTTTCCAGATGGAACAAACCGTTGCGTCAAGTACTTTTGCTTCCTCCTAGAGAACCATGGATTCTCCTGCTTGTAGTCTCTGAAGAAGCAAAATAAGATAAGAACAACTTGATTTAGATTAACTCTTACAAGTTGAAAGCCTACTTCCTACTTTGCTGTGGTTAGGTTTTCGGACTCGCAGCCGTAAGGTCGTGGGTTCGAATCCTGTCAGGGGCCCGACATTGTGTCCATGGGAAAGGCACTTTACACGAATTTTCCTCACTTCACCCAGGTGGGAATGGGTACCCGGCTATAGACAGCAAAAGATCTTGTCAGTTTGTTAGTGTTTGAGTGCTTATTCAGCTGCTTGCACTGTATGCTTCCCAGGAAGCTGAGAATGTTTGGGAGTGTTCTATGGTCTTCTGGGATAATAATATAGTGTAAAGCGCATAGAGCCTGCCGTTGAGCGGGGATATTGCGCTATACAAATGCTATTTATTATTATTATTATTTTTGCTGTAGTAAGGTTTATTGAAAATATGCACCTATCAGCATTTTCCTCATAGAAGGTAGTTTTCAAGCTGCAAGCATGTATTACCCATCAAAGCATTCAGAAAAGAATGAAAATTTAATATATTAGAGTACAGTTGAAGTAAAGGCAAGAAAGTATGATATATGAGATGCCAAATTTCTGCAATAGTCTTCCAACATCTAAGAGTTAAAAAGAATCTGCTGTTAGTCAACTGTGTCAACTGAAATAGATCAAAAGTCAGGCAAAAGAGCTCTACCATTCTGTTGCAGATAGGATTTTATTGAATGCACAAGGAAGTTAAGTACCTGGTGTTTGTAGGCACTTCAATTAACCCTATCCGTACGTCGCGTTTTACTATCATATCCATACGATGTGGGGAACTCTGTGCCACCACTTTCCAAAGAGGAAATTTACTCTTTAATCCGATCCGTATGCTTTGGATAGCAGTCTGTCAAAATGATTTTTTGAGAAATATTAAAAGTTTCACAGAGATCTTCATACTAGAAGTATTCTAAAATGTGAAGAATACAACCCCTGGGGTACAAAATGACCCCAGGGCGTATGGATAGGGTTAAGAAAACTTGCTTTGAGTCATGATCACAATCATGTCATATCGCAACACCAGTGCGGTATAACTTGGATAGTTCGAACACAGAAAACTCGAAATCACGCATCCGTCGAACTGTGCCTGCGGTCCCATTTTCTTCTTTCTTCTTTATCTTTGTAAAATATCCCTCGAACTACGGATCTCTTGAACTACTGAGGCCGGTCCCGACGAATTCGAGCTATCTGTGTTATACTGTACTATGTATAAAAGATCAAAATCACATTAAAAAGAATTTTCCAATCTTAACGAGTAGTGTTAATGAAGGGTATTTATTGCTGGCTACGTACATGTATACCTATTGTACACATGAAATAGAAGATAAAGGGCTGGGGTAGTCTGGAAACTTTTTGATAGGACCTTGTAGTTTCTTCTAATTAAACATACTCTCACAAAGCAAATGCAAGGGAAGAAAATACTTTCTATATTATATGTCTCACGACGTGGTGGAATCAGGCACTCGTCAATTTTGAGGCAAACAGAGTTGTTATTTGTACGGGTATCATCTTAAAATCTGTTCAGTTGCCTTGCTTTGGATGAAAAAAACCCCACCCTTTTATCTTCAATAGGTGTTGAGATATTTGCCATTGAAGGAGGTGGGGGGTTGCCTGGTTTCAGAGGTAAGAATGGCGAGAAAATGGCCGTCAAAGTTTGGTGACTTCCATAGCTTGAGAGTCCTTGAAAACTGAAAATTTACAGTTTTTGTACCTTTAACAAATGTTTTTCTGTAAAATCCACACAGAAATGTGTTTTTAAAAGGACATAAAAGATGTTGAGCCAAAAAACAAAAATTCGATAAAAATTGCCAAACCAGTAGAAAAATGTTGGTTTTTTCGGTTTCATTATTTTGACGAGCACTTGATTTCACCACGATGCCTCACATACGACGCGGTGGAATCAGGTTCTCCTTAATTTTTGAGCATGTACAGTTATCGGTATTATTAAATCGAGTGCATTTTTCATGCTTGGGATGAAAAAAATATCAATTTATCCTGAATACAAGTCAAGATATTTGCAAATGAAGGAGGAGGGGATCACCTGGTTTCAGAGGTAAAATTAGTGAGAAAATGGCTGCCAAAGATGAGTTATTTCCTTAGCTGGAGAGTCCGTGGAAAGTGAAAATTTACATTTTTGTGCCTTTTATCAGCGTTTTTAAGTAAAATTCACACAGGAATGTGTTCTTAAATGGACATGAAAGGTTGAATCAAAAAACAAGAATTCAATAAAAATTCTGAAACCTGTGGGAAAAAGCCAGTTTCTTCACTATGATTATTTTGACGAGCCCCTGATTTCACCACAATGCCTCACATACCTCACACACAAATATTAACTACCTGAAGGACTGCCCCTCCTCAACGTACTGGGCCAGCCAGTCGTCCTCAGATTTTGGCTGGGGGACTGAACAGAAAAACTTTTGTTCCTTCTCAGACACATCTGAATATTCTGATGGTACATTTTTCAAAGTGAAACCAATTGCTTCTGCCTGTTCCTTTGAAGAAGGCGGGTGGAAACCTTTGGCGTAAGGAATGGCAGGTGTTCGAGCCTTTTGTCTGCTTGAAGGAACTTTTGGCATGTTACAACTTTGTGCTGAGGAGAGACAGATGTGCACACAGTAATCAAATAGCTCAAATAATGTGTATATATATATATATATATATACATACATATATATATTTTTTTTTTGGTAAGTGTTTTACTGTGCTTGTTACTGCATAAGGTCATATGAGCGCACGAAACACACTAAACATTTTTAGTTGGTAAGAAATTTAGAATTTTGCCAGGGTGGCAGCTGAAGCTTACTCTTATCGATTTTGGACCACCAACTTGCACGGGAGACCTCTGAGATTTTTCGCCCTTATCTGAGAAGGCTAGGTTTTCAGTCTTACCTATCATAAGATCAGGGGTATGGTTGACGGACAGCAGTAAGAAGAAGCCAAGGAGTAGCAGTAGAGAGGCTGTAGAAAGAGTCAGGAGCCCAGAGGAGGGGACAAAGGGGGTGGAGGGTGAGGGCAGAAACTGAAGATGAAAGCAGACGACAGAACATTGTTAGAGAGCAGGAAAGATGTGAAAGGAGAACATTTTAGAGAACGAAATTTTCCGTCACTGTCCGAAAGCGAACCCAGAACCTGTTGAATGAGAGGTGATCACTGTAACCTCTTGACCATGAGAGCTCCTATGTATAAGTCTGCAAATTCGATGCACTGCGTACAACATAAGAGCCAATATAAAAATATACTGTCCATCCCTTGATTGACAAAATTTGAACAAATGAACCTCGATATGAAAATATAAACCAAGTCTACAATTAACTTACTTAAAAAAATACCACTCTGCTTCTGGAAAGAGTAATTGTCTTTATTCCTGTTGCTGTGTTAAGTAAAGCCTTCTATACAATACGTGGTTGTGAATACAAAACCAATAGCCACTCAAAGGGTACTGGTACTTAAAGAAAATGGAAAAATGTTCCTTTACCTACAACAAAACATTTGCAGACATGATTTAATACAAACTAAGTTTCCATTAAATAAAAAAGATTAAGCTGTGAGAATACAAGTATGATCTCGTACACTATATACAGAAGTTTTTCTATCAGGCATTTAAAAGCTCCCCATGATGATCACAAGAATGTAAACCTGATACTCTACATTGTAACTATATAATGTTATAATACCAGTTATTTAAGTACACATTTTAACAAGAATGGTGATGATCCCCACAGTGTTTCTTTTACTGAAAATTGAAATTGATGAAAGTTGAAGTTAAAATGGCAAACACATCTACATCTACATTACCATGATTACCTGTATATGCTGTATCGATACTTCAGTGGTGGAGATTAAAAATTTTCAACTTTTCCAAGGAAATCTCTGAGTATGATGGAATGAGTATTAATTATGGATGCTAACTTCTTAGTTTGTCAAAAAAATCATCCAATAAGACTGCATTAACTCTTTAAACCCTGAGTTTTTTCCACCACTTCCCAGAGTTTTTTTTACAGTCACCTAAACCTGGTGCACTATTTCTCAATATAACCCCGAAAGCTTGCCTCCAACTTCTACATGGTGGAAACATAGGCTTAGTCATTACTGAAAAAAACTTGGTGCGGGAATAGTTCTGAAAAAACAAGCAAAAACTAGCACTACATAGATCTACTACATATCTAAATGAAATAGTTGTCACTAGTATCAGAAGCTCCCAGCGTATGATGGGGTTCACAGAGTTTGTGTCATAAAAGCATAAATAAGGCAGCTAATAACAACTTTGACCAATGTATCCTCCTGTGAATTATACTGGCTTCTGGTCTATCAATTTAATAAGTAGTTTATTCCATCAGTGGTAGAACAAGAACTTGGCCTGCATGATTGTTGACTTTTTCTCATGTCGTTCTGGTGAACCTGATTGCGAATATTAAGTTTATTAAAAACTCTTACAAATACTTGCCGTTTCGCAAATAATATGTCTTTAAGTGCCACTTCCGAGAACTGGAGAATCACTGGTTTAAAACAGCTGAACAAGCTTTCTGGTCCCAGCTCTCGTTCTCCCTAAATAATAAATATAGTAGGTTAGTAACCATAAACATTGAGGGGTGTGCTTTATTAGAAACCCAGCAGTATAAAATATTATCTCCTTTGAAACTCGTGTGCAAGGAGCATCGCATCGCATTGCAATATATTACTATATTATAATGTTGTCATTGTGCATCACTCCCCGATTATTTTAAATACTATAGATTTACCATAATAAAATACGATAAAAAAGTGTCATACCAACATGGCACTGACCTACATAATACGGGATATATAAATTTTTGTTTTGAAAATAAGTAGCAAACAGGCAATGAAATGAACACTTTTGAGACAGGTATTGATATTGTGTGTTTAGACTGATGTACACACACAAGCTCACTGATATCTCCAACTTTTTAGAAAGCAGAAAATTCGAAGGTACCGTACAGGTTTTGATTAAGTTTGCTTGACCAGCTCAATCAGCAGTAGGCCCGTTAGGCCAAAGGCTACTTTTATTTATAATTTTATTTGCCGTCTTTCATTAGTGTGCCAAGTAAACTACTGGACTAATAGGTTTTCACAGTGAAGAAAGGAATCTTTGAAGGCCTACCGATGGATCCCTCCACTGTTACAGTAGACCTGTTCAGGAATGTTGGAGATGACGTTGCTTTTTTGTGCATGATCTTTTATGTGTTCAAAAATGTGAAATAACTACGTAGGCATTTTTTGTTTTTTTTTGTTTTTTGTTTGTTTTTCGTGCGTTACTTTTGAGTTATCATCATAAATAATATGACTAGAAGTACAAGTACAAAGACATACAATTCTATTGAGGTTGTGTTGATCTAACAAACTACAACTTACTATTGTCTTGAAGCACATTTGAAGTTCGTGGGCCCTCTACAACTGCTTCTTTTCAGTGTTACTTGAAACTGCATGCAATATTTCTAAAAATGCATTTGCAAATCCAATTCAAAGCGTTCTGCAGCAAGTACAATTTCTTGAAGCAACAATTTTCAACGATGCCCTCCTCAAATCCGCTCGACTTTTTACTGCCACTACCAGTTCTATACACCTTTCCTCATCATTTGCAAGGTGGAAGAACAAGAGTCCAGACCCGTTGTTTCAGTTTTTTTGTGTGTAGCCTACATTTTGTTGAAACACACCACTGCGTGAGTAGTAATTGTATGGTTATGGTTATGGTATGGCATTCAATCAAACACTAATATTGAAAAAGCTGGACCTCCAAATCCAATCTTAGATAGGGTAAGGTCAAATTGAGGGAGAACCTTGAAAACTGTTGTTGCTCGATCATCGATTGTAGCCGTCTTTGACACGTATAGAGGGTTGCATGTCTTTAAAAACAATTTTTTAATTTATTTAAAAAAAAAATTTTTTTT